GAAAGGCAAAAAATAAGAGCATTTTATGCTCAACTTGCATGCTATGATAGGGTGTCTAAACTTAAGTACAAACCATCGTATACATTTAAGAGAACAAGTAAGAAGCAGTACATTTCCATTATAAGCCGCATTTATATACAGTAAGTTTAAACATATTAAGTATACTTGAAAACAACATACTTATCATGATTCATGTATTTAATCCAGTGTAATTCTTCATGTTTTTCTGTTGTTTTTTAACCTAATCATCAGTGAGATAAATGTAGCATTGCAGAAAAAGATACACTAATTAATATGTTCAGTGACAAGTATAAACACTTCCAGAATTCAAGCAAAATCTTTAAGTATTCTCCAAATTTAAACACTAAACTTTTCCTTCCGCTTTACATTTTGCATAAACATTCATTTTTTTAAAGTTATTAAAGGCACAGCTGTTTCTCTGGTTCCCTAACTAGTTTCTAGAAGGATAGTATTCATGAGGATTTTGAAGAACAAATAATTGTTTATTTTATACATGGAAGACAGTTTTAAAAGAATGAATACTTGTGAAGAGTAAGGCAAATTTTGGTTCACTTGTTTAATAAAGCAATGACTTTTCAGGTATTTTCATGTACATTACTCAGAGTACTTGAATTTGTAAGATGCAAACCACTATCAACAAAAGTGAGAACTCATGAAGTGGAAAAAGAGTATGATAGTTTAATTGGTCTTCCTGAAAAACACAAACCTGAATCTAGAAAAATGAGTGAATGGAATACAGTATAAGCTACTTGTGCACTTTTGGAGTGTTAGCAGATGAGCACCAAGAAGAAGTAGTTTGACAGTCCATAAGAGCATAGGACTCCAGAAGGACAGGCAGATAACTTAGCCCTGTTTTCTGACTCTTATCAGCATTTAAGTCTCAATCACAGAGTCATTGTCAGCTCTTAATACTCTGAACTGGTTAGGAAACTGAGGTACAGCAGCCTGTGGGGATCACATTTGTGTTGTGGCCCTGAAAGGCTTAGTGGGACCTGACCCTAGGGACCTTTGCCCTCATAGATCCCATTACACCCTGAGCCCTGCGATTGTAACTGACAGCCAGCAAATGCCTTCCCAGACCTGCTCCCCACTATCCTCATAACCTCTACTGCCAACAGTATGGGATATTATGTTAAGTGTTGGTTTCATTTGTTGCTTAGTGGGCTAATACATGTCCCAGCAGCTTTGACATAACTTATGTCCCTTCCTCCTTTCCTTTCACTTTTTTGTTACACTTAAAACACACTGTTAGTTTGCTAGGGCTCACATAACAAAGTACCACCAGTGGATGGCTTAAACAACAGAAACTTACTTTCATAATTCTGGAGGCAAGAAGTACGAGGTCAAGATGTCACCAGGGTTAATGTCATATGAGGCCTGTCTCAGACATCTACAGATGACTTTCTGTTCCCTGTGTGTGTCTTGGCCTAATCTCTTTTTAGGACACCAGGCACTTTGGATTGGGCCCACCTTGATATCCTCATCTTATTTATCTCTATAAAGATCCTGTCTCTAAATACAGTCACATTCCAAGGTACTGGTGGTTAGCACTATGACCTATGAATTTTGAGGGACATCAGTCAGCCCATAACACTCAGATTTAAAATGATCTCATTGTGGGTTGGTCACCCCTGTAGTCTCCCATCTCAGATGTGAGCATCTAGGTTGCAGTCCCCAGATTCTAACGCAGTCACTGCACATTGCTGGTATTTCATGAACTCTTGGTGAATACATGCCTGGGAATTGGTAAGAAATTTGCTGCAATAAAGTGATTACTTTTTAACATTAGCAGTTTAAAAAAGTGTCACTGTGTCCCTGACTGCCAGCAGTAAAACCTGATAGAAGATGTTCAGATGGGAGGATGAGGTAGAGAAAATACAACACATTCAAATCAGGATAGCTTTCAACAGAAGAGTGAATGTCAGCACTGCAAATGAAATGAGATGAGGTCCTTGTGCAACACCAAAGCTCAGGTCTGTGTCATGTGAGAACAAGGATAATGATGGTCAATCGATCTTTTCTGTTGACTTGATTTTCGGGTCTTCAAATGCCACAGTCTTAAGAAAGTACATGGCTGTAATGTAAATAGTATTTATTTCCAATAATGATCACCTTTTCCACAGACCAACTGTGCTTAAAAAAAATAAAATGAAATATGTTCTTCAAACTCAGGGATCTGCTGAGTTCTTAGAGATCAGGCAAGCAGGTTTTAGGAATGTAACTGAGACTCTTTTCCTGTCCCTGCCATACTGGTCTTAAGACTCTGATACTGAAGGTGATTAGAAGACTTTACTGTAAGTGCAAAGTGTTCTTTATTTTTCCCAGAGTATTTAATGATCATTTTATGATTCAAACACTAAAAAAATGCCTGATTAGAAGTGCCATTGTTCAGGGTCAGCTGTGGTGGCACATGTCTGTAATCTCAGATGGGGAGGCTTGTGGTTCGAGGCCAGCTGGGGCAACAAGTTAGTGAGGACCCCCCCCCCACCACCCGCCATCTCATTCAAATGATGGGCATGGTGCCTGTGGTCCCAGCTACATGGGAGGTATAGATAGGAAGTTTGGGGTCCAAGGTTCGTCCCAGGCAAAAACTTGAGACCCTTTCTCACAAAATAACTAATGCAAAAAGGGCTGGAGGCATGCATGGCTCAAGTGGCAGAGGATCTGCTTAGCATGCCTTGTGTTCACACCCCAATCACACACACACACACACAAGAATAGATGGGAAGAGTAAGGGAGAAAATTTCCTTCATGGTGACTTTTGCTATCAAACACATTCCCAAGTTCTTTGGCAAAAATCATTGGCTTTTTCTTTAGAAAAGGGAACCTCCTAGAAAAACAAACCCTTAAAATAAGTGTAATAATGTCTGAAAGGTTAGCTATTTGTCCAAAATATTAGATTTGGGTGGCTTTAGTATTGATGCTTTGAACCTAGAAGTTAAATGCTAAAGCAGTGAATTTTGTTAAGGTGAAGTATCCAACAGAAACACAAGAACACAGAGATGGCATTTTCTTCACTTCTTCCATGTGCCTACTAAGTTTTTACATTTTTTATTAACATTTTTGGTTTCTAAAGAACTTTTATTTTTCACTAATATTTCTAATATTTTTAAATTGTACTTGAAGCATGCTTTTAAAAGTGATTATTATGTCAGTTTATATTAATTGAACTTACAATTGATCTCAGTTTGGGGATCTCCTAAAATTAAGGCCACACTGGGATTTTATGTGCTGTGACTTTGCTACATGCCTTGTATTTTAGATTATATTTTGTTTGCTTCACCCATTCTTGGCTAAAGAGAGTGTCAGGAATGGCTGCTTATCCTAAACAAGGCAGATGGTGTAATTCTTCAAGATGGAGTTGAGCAGAAGAGGGGAAATCTGTGGAAGAAGGTGGGCTAGGTTTGGGGGAACTACATGGCTCAGAAAGCAGCCCCAGTCCAAAGTGAGAAAATAGTTCAGATTTTTGCAGAATGAATGCCCAAGTATTTAAGATCCAAGTGTGGGTGGAAGCTTTGGACTGGTGTAATTTTGAAGGAGAAGTGGTAAGCAATTTGCATTCTGGGAGCTGTGTGGTCTGCAGGATAGTGGAAGGAAAAGAGCTGAGAGTTTGCAAACCTACTTTGAGTTGCACCTTACATGGTGGTGTTGTTTTGGGTAAGTGGATTGACCTTTGTGAATTTCAGTTTCCTCATTTATATAAAGTAAATAAGACCTATTCACAAGCCTGTGTATATGCAAAATTACCTGGTAAGCTGGATGTGCTATAAACATTACTACTGTAAGAGCAAAAACTGTTGCATCATCCCAAAGAGTAAACACAGCCATCCACATGTTCTACCTCACACCTCCAAACCAAATGGATTGATTGGCACATACAAAACACGACAGTTAGTTCAATGAGTAGTGCTTCCAAAACCAAAAATGACACCTAAGTCTATTTGTTAATCTGTTAATGAGGTGTGATTCTTAATTATTATTTATTAAATCTGAGGCATATTTACAAAGCTTAGAGAATCAGAACTAAAGGAAATCTTACCTAATTTGATTCCCTCTCTTTAGGCAAGTTTGTATCAAATGTGAATTATCCCTGACAGATGGTTGTTGGATTCTGTTTCTAAATTTTTTTTAAAGGTTTCACAGTTTTCCCTCTAAATTCTTTTAGTAATTTAACAATTCTTGTGCCAAGTTTTTCCTTATAACTGACCTAAATCTGTAGTTGTAATTTTAAACCTTTTCCCCCTTTCCTGTCTTTCTTTACTGGAGATAAGAACAGCTGGTCAGCAACCTCATGCTAATAACCCTTTGTGTATTTAAAGAAGCGTTACTCAATTTGCCTTCCTTGCCCAGAGTCCTCCCACCCTCCTGAATTCATCAGCTTGTATTCTGTGGATCATTCATGATAACACTGCCCAGCTCCCTGTCCCTGGAAGATGGTTGGCCCTTTCAGGCAGCTGGATACACTGTATTATTAGTGGCCACATGAACCTGGAGAGAATTAGAGATACTTCTTTCCTTCCTTCTTTGCTCTGTGCATAATCTTTAGCTTTCTAATAAATGGTCAGAATAACTCCTAAGAGTCTTTGATGACTACCTGACATATTTTACATCATAAACATGGAATTTGCAAGGCTATTTATCATTCATAGGTTGATTTGAAAAACCTCCTTGGTGATTTGGTGCACCCTGCCAGACATACCATTAAACTGCTACTTTGCCTGCTAAAGATAACAGCGATTGATACCTCTGCTCTATTGGACTTTATCTTGGAGGGCATTGAGCTAAAGCTCCCCTGAGTGCAGCCCACATTCAGAAGCACACTACCGATCTGCAAGTGGTAATGGGTTGCCCCAGTGCTCTAAGCTGCATTAGGGAAATAAGTGATCTTTGAGAGAATTGAACTTTGTAAGCCAATCCTGTGTGGTTTCAGAATTGATCTTGTTTTTAATCTGAATGTGTGTGCATTTGTGTCTCCATAGGTTTCCCACTCAGAACTCTTTGTCTGGGATAGTCAAGAGTCATTTCCAGACAAGGAAATGGAAGGAAATTTTCCTAAGGTAAGATCCCTTCCTGCCATTTTGCAAACACTATTTTCAACTTAGAATCACAAAAAACTAGACTTACTTCTTTTTCATTTTAATAATCCTCTATATGGACCATAATAATCCATGAATACAATATACATTGGCCTTATAAATAACAAGTTTTTAAAAACAAAGTCCTATGACTCTCAAAGATCATATTATCTTCCTTTCTTGACAAATAAGCCAAAAGCAAATTTTCATGTAAGAGTCATGGAATCAATTTATCAAATGTACATTTTATAGATTTTAAATTTGTTTCATTCCTTGGTTAGACAAACTCAGAGGATTCCAAGATGGTGGCTAGAGGGAGGAAGCAGAAAGCGAGCCTCCTATAGTGAAATCTTGGAGAGACGCTGGAGACACACTTTGCAGGCATAATCACTGAGAAAAGGCATAACTTTGACCCCTCCACATCTCCAGCCGGTGCAGAGAATCCCCACTTCACGTTAAACGGAGAAACGAGGACGGCCCCGGGGCCGCCAGTGGCCGGCGCCCATACGGCTTGGGAAGACGCGGACCAGCTTACTGTCGATTAGTACACTAACACTCCCTGTTTATACCTTTGAAACTCTCTTGTCTGATACCTTGTTCTGCCTTCTCCCTCTTGTCTGTAGATTTGTTTTCCCCTTTTCTTTAACTTCTTGCTTTCCATCTCAGCTCACCCTTCCATTCTAAATATTACCATTGTTATTATTACAAGCTAGAAAATACTTAATTGCACACAGTACAGGGACAGTAACAACACCAAGGACAATGACGGGAAGACAGAAAAAACAGGGAAACCAGTTTCCCCACAGCAAAAAATTAGGACAAACTCAAAAATGATGATCAACCCAAAGACTAAAGAGGAAGGTGGTTAGGATTGAAGGATTGGGATTTCTTAACAGTATGAAACAATAATGCCTGGATGTCTGATAAGATCACCATGAAACAAAATGGAAAGAACATAAGCTGTTATTTTTTCTTCTCTTAAATTTTAGGTCTGGGAAACACTGTGTATCAATATGGTTTTATCATTGTGACATCTTACTGTGACAATTCTCTGCCTTAAGGAAGCTTAAAATATTTGTTTTAGATTTTAGTACCATTCTTGAAACAAATGAAAAGCAATTTACCAGTTTTGACTGTAGATACCTTTAGACTTTGCCTTTTAAGGTAAATATCAATTTGACCTCAAGTAGGAAAACTGATTGACCCACTGATTTTGCAATTAAAAAAAGTCATAAAACTTGTATTCAAAAGTTTCATAAGTATCATTGGCTAATGGTAAAGCCTCTGCCAGCTATTACTGGTATTTCACTATTTAAAAAACTCTTATTTACACTAAATGTTTTCAACAATTCCCTGTTACTGACAGGCAAAAATTGAAGAGGTTGTGTCAGCTGGCAGTTTGCACTGAAAGAAAACATTCCCTAAATCACTTTAATCTTTCAGAGAATACCTGAAGGTCAGGGTTCAGATCATTGGCAGGAAAATAGATGAACAAATGGTTTCGGCCCTGCCTGAGCTAAACTTGTACTGATCTTGTATGGTTGAAGAGGAAGAGAGGTAAAATACTAGAGTTCTACCATACCCTACCAACCTCCCCCACACGCCCCTCCTGTAGCAGCAACATACTCTAGACAGTGTTTTGACAGTGCTGAGTATTGAACCCAGGGCCTTGCTCAAGCTAAATACATGCTCTACCACTGAACTTGCACCCCCAGCCCTTTGAAATATATATCCCTAGACTTTTCTGGGTCAGATCAGGACCGAGAGTAAAACGGGATAACAAAGTATAACCTTTTTGTTAATTCTTGCCTCATTCAGCTATCTAAAAGTCCTCTTTGATACTGGTGACATCAACCAGATGGATAAGAACAGGTGAAATTTTTAAGTGAGGTCAACCAGTGGTCCCACCCTTAGCTCTGGGAAAGCCAGTTCAGGTGCCAGGTCCTGCCCAAGTTGAAGTATGCCCTTGGGGTCAGCACAGTTGGTCATGGGAGTCATGCCTTCTGCTATTTTAAGTTATCTCTTCTCTAAATATATGAATAGTATTTTAAGCACAATGTATTTGTCCTTTCTCCACCAGTTTCCTTCTGGAAAAGCACATCTTTGCATAATTGTATGAAAAATGATCTCAACTCACTTGGTGCAGAGCACATTACTGAGTAACTGGGAACTAATCTAGCAGTCGTCAGAAGGGAGGGCATTCCACTCTGAGTCATATTAGCTGGAGTGACATCCAAGAGAGCCAGTCTGTAGGGGACACAGGACTCTTAATGCTCTGTACTCCACCCTCAGCCTTCAAGATTACTCAAGCCCCTCAATCTAGGAGAAACTATTACCTTCTGAATAATGAAGAAAGATGACTATTGTTGCCTGAACTCTTGTAAGACCTGACTTCTGGAGAAATAAGGAGTGTTTGTGTTCCTTCTTGAAGATGACCCTTTCACTTGTTGCTGAAACCTAAAATTCCTTTAAAGCAAGATGGGAAGGGGTAGGGAGGAGGACTGAAATCTAGTAAATCCAGGGCTCTGAAGAGAAGATGCCCAGAACTGTATCTCCCAGGACTGCCGCTGCTCGCTCGCAAGCATGTTAGTTTATGGGCCCACAGCTCCCTGCATGACCTACCACCATGGCCTGTGTCATCCAATTACTTGGGTGTCTCCCATAGAGCAAGTTAATTAAGGGCATGTTGGGCAAGGAGTGTTTTTGTTTCCATTTTACTCTGTAGGCTTAAAATCTAATAGATTTTAAGCACTCAAAGCATGAATAATGGATGAAGAAATGCAAGAGTGTTTGGGGACCACAAAAGAGAGAAAAAATAGTAAATTCGAATACTCTCTTTTACTTTTTCTTTGGGGAAGCACCTCTTCCCTAGCCCCCAGCTCTTTGTTTCATGTTGTTGTGGATTTTTCATGGAGGTAAAAGGTTAGTAAACTGGGACTTATATATGAGACAGACCGATGTGCCGTCTGTTCACCTTGGAATAGAGTAAGTGAGTTAGTTTCAAGGCCAGCTGTGTAAAGGGTGTGGTCATTGAGTGAGATAACATTTGATTTCTCTTGCTTCCTGGCCTATGACAATTAATAGCTATTGAAGTTTTCATTTGTCCAAAGCCCATGTGTTCCTCATCCTGACCCATGCTCACAGGCCAGTTGAGATAGCAATGTTACTTTGAAGATACCAGTAGATTTCTTTTTATTTTTAAAATTTTATTATTGTATACCACAATTTTACAATTGAAATTATCTTCACAAATACAAGGAGCTGCCTAATACTATATTTTTAGAAATTTTATCTAGATCCTTAATGGTATGTGAGTGATGAATTATAGTTTTCTGGTTTAGTCCCATTGATAGTTAATGACACCAAAACAATCTCTGAAATCCCAATCTAAGTCTGGAGCATTAAAATACATACTATGCGGATTTTACATATGTCCTAAAAATGTATGCTTTCAAAGTTTGAGATTTTAAAATGAAACTTAGGCACGCCAGATGTTTCATGTGGAAAACCTGTACACTAGGTTCTTTCTGTACACTAACTACTTTCTGTAGTTGAATTATCTTCTGCATTTAGTTCAGCCTGAAGGTACTGAAAATATTCAGTTTCAAGTTGCTTGGAAGCTCCTGACTACTGAATTCTTCTTAAAAATAAATATGAATGTGACCATTTACAGATCACAAAGTAAAAATATCACTTTAATCCAAGTACTTACCTCTAGTAAAAAAGAAGAAAACCACAAAGGATAATAATTTTTTCTAAGAAAGAGCCAGTAATTAACAGTTTAGCTAAAGAAGAGAGGGTTGTCAAGTCTTTACTGTGTTCATGCAATCTTTCTGTGATGCATGAAGACTTTTATATCACTTGAGTGGTGGGCCACATTGTCCTGCCCACTTGCTGCTTTGTGATGGACAGCTGGCATCCACTGCCAACTGCCTTCAGTGTGTCAGCAGAAGCAGTATGGCACCTGATCATCTGTCATGCTGGGGTTGGTCTTTCTAGTCAGAAATGCAAAACCTTACTCATCATGATTGTAAGTAGAGACTTAAATAACCCCAGGCCACCCAAACCAACTGACTCTCATGCAGTTGCTTTCCCATGATCCTCCTCTTTCCTATAATCCCTGTTTAGGCTCCTCACATTATTTCCCTCCCAAACACTTTCATTTTTGGAACCCACTTCTGGTTTTGACCATGGAATGAGCCATGTCTTTACAGGATAAACCATACATTGCTGTATACACATGTGAGTAAATGTAAAAACGATTGAAAAAAAGACTTATGCAAGTTGTGGTATGTTTTTAAGTATTTTTATTGTATATTAGCAAGCAGGCTGTTATCTACCCTCTATCATATCATCCAGTGAACTTCAGAAAAACATAATTAACACTCCTTTGAGCACCTCTCACCTTACTCGATGTTGGGCCCTATCTGTTCCCAGCAACTATCCCCAGAAATCTAACTCTGAGGAATGTTGCCCCACACATGGGCCACCAGCATTAAAGAAGCACTCAACTCAACTGAAGCAAAGGCAGCTAGTGTTTAATTGCCTTGTACCCTCACAGACCTAATATTTACATTCAGGTGAACTGTGTTTAATATGTAAACTCTGTTTACAAAATAGCAGGAGTTCAAGGATAAAAAGTGGGCAGTAGAAGAAAATTTTTAAAGAAATGGTTTCAGAAGCATGACTAAGTTTGTCTTTTGTGTGTGTGTGTGTCTGTCTGTCTGTGTGTATGTCTGCCTACTTTGCAGGGAAGACTTCCTGTCCCAAAGGAAGTGAACCGCAAGAAGAACGATGACACCAGCGCTGCCTCCCTGGTTCCATTGGGCAGCAATGAACTCCGCTCCCCAAGTATCAGTTACCTCCACTCTTTTTAATCGTAACACCTCCATTTGTATTACATATGGTGTTTGGGTATTGATGAGGTCATGGTATCATATATGGGATTTTTTTCTGTGTAAATCATCAAGTGTAAGAAGAAACTCTGGGACTCTGAGCTTGCTTTACAGAATTTACAGTGGACAAATAGGTGTCATCAAACCAGTTTTTAATCATTCTGACTCAAGTGAAAACGCTCAGAATTTCACACTGTGAATCCACGTTTACAACCCCTACAGGTGGGCCTTCAGGCCTGGTTCGCTACAACAATGTCTTCCACAAGTCAAACTCCCACTGCGCTCACATGACCGGTCCACTCCTGCCTTCTCACTCACACAGCTCCCGACTGCTTCTTGCAGAGGCTGAGAGTCCCCATTGTTTTTTTTTTTTTTTCATTTAGATGTAACAAGCCTAGTAGTTTATGTCCATCAATTGTCTGTATATCTCTATATTTTACCCATGTACTCCTTTGATGTATAGAAGTAGTTTGAAACTCATTGTTTCCTTGTGGTAAGTGACCGAGATGCTGCCACAGGACCTGAGACACTGATGAATGGTGCTATTTTGGACTTTCAACATGCTCCTTGGCAAGGTAGCTCTGATGGAGTTATTTTTTATTTCCATGTTCTAAGAAGGTGTTGGTACTCTTGTTTCCCTGAATGTTATTCTCTAGACTGGATTGACGTGTTTTCCTTGTGTCTTCAGTGTGGCTTTCTTCCTCAGTGCTGTAGGTAGAGTGAATGCTACCAAGAGTGTGAGAGACTGTTGTTTCATTGGCTGGCACTCATGGACACGCAGTCAGGGTAGCGGGAGCAATCACAAAACTGTAATTTACTTACCAAATCTCTTCCTTTCTGTTGCCTCACCTGCCTGACTTAGAGAAAGAAAAGCAATAATTTTACAGGCATTTTGAGGTGTCTCTTTGGATTCTTTTTGTTTGGATATTTGGGATGGGGAGGGGAAGGGTCCACACTTTTAAAATAAACGTCCTGTGAAAAAAATCCAAAATACTGGCATCTGAGTAGAAATATGAACATTATACCTGTCCCCAAAATTAAGTTGGAAAAATGTCTTCAAAAAAACAATAAATAAAAGGCAGAGCGTCATTTTTTTTCTGGCAGTTTTGATAAGCAAGGTATAGATTTTACATTTTTGTCCTTGCTCCCAGTGAAATGGGTAAACAAAAATAAAATCAGTAATGCCATCTATTCATGGAATGTTGTTGTGTTAGCCAGTCTGAAAGCCCACCTTAATTTTTATATAACTGTCTTTTAGCTCTTCCTTTGACAGGGCAGGCCTTGTTCTGAACTGTTTGCTGCTGACTGTTAACCACCAATAACTGCATGCACTGCACTTCTTTCTTCTCTCCTTGCTCCCCACTGGCCTGAGTTTCTTGTGCATCCCTTCCAGCTTCCTTTTTGTTAGAATAGGTCTATCAGCTGTGTAAATAGAGCAAGAAAACAGTATTCTGCATCTGTGGCATTTATGTAGAGTTGCAGTTGTGTACTGCTGAAAATGCAGGCTTTTGTAACAATGTGATCCTTAACTGATGCACTCATAAGTACCCAATGTATTTTAGTAGTATTTGTTCAATAAATATGCAAGCTGGATGGTAACTGTCTGATTTCGCTCATCATTGAAGAGTCCTATATTTTTAATGCCTTCCCTGATTCATGCTAAATTTTTTATTCCCACTGTGCCATAAGACAGACTGGTAAGCCCAAGAGCAAATATCAAAAGAGGTAGAATCAGTTCTGCCTTTCATGCATTTCTCCTTTTTGAGGGTTTTATGAGATTAGGGGCTAGGCACGAGCTCATTAAGATGGTATTAGCAAGCTACCTCTGGACACAAAAGAGAATTAGGCCGAAATCCGTTTTATTTCTGAACTTTCTCTCCCTTTCAGGGCATTCCTACATACTTCAAAACTTACTCTTTCTTATTCTGTGCCATTAAGACCTACTCTGCAGTCTTCTTTATCCATGCCAAAGATACCTGGCCTCACTTTCTCAGGGAATATTTGTACTTTTGCACACACAAAGGGCTTAAACATGTAAGAAGATAAAATCCTGAGAAAGAATTTTAAATCATTAAGCCTTAATTCATATGTGCCCAGCTACCTAGAACCCAGAAGGTAAGATGTCATGACCTCTCATGTGACCCTGAGGCCTAGCAATTCAGGGGATATGTGTTCCCCAGATGCAAAATGCCTGCTGGTCTCCTCACCCATTAAAAACCGAAACTTTAACTTGGCTCTTATGCACAAGTTACTAAATTTGACTGGTTGGGTTGAGAGGCTAAGAACAGAATTCTGAGATAAAAACCAGAGAGACAAGGATGCAAGCTAAGTGTACCATTACTCCCAAAATAAGAGCTGAGCCTATGGAGGGCTGTCATCACATGATCTTTAAGAAACCTTGGGTCTTGATTGTGCATGTCAAGAGGGACTCTTTTTTTCAAACAGTTTATTAGTATATATTAGTCATAGAGGGGGGTTTCATTGTGGCATTGCTTACAATGTACTTTGATTAGATTCACTCTCCCCTCCTTCCATTCAAGAGGACTTTTTAACTGGGGTATTGCTGAATTCATTTTCAAATTAATGCACATCTCAGATTTTGGTTGAGTTTCCTATTTACTCTCAACTTTTAATCTTACTAAGAGAAAGTAACATTAGGGCAGAATTAGGTCCTGATTGCCTGCTAGATAATTAGAATTTGTTCAACCTGAGGGGAAATTTTTTCAAATGGAGATATCATCATCTCTGGGTAATCTCATTCAGTGGTTAATACCTCTGCATGCAGGGGAAGTCTTCTTAAATTTGATTACCCTTCAACTTAGAAGCAACTCTTATTTTCCTCACTCATCGGGCTCCCATACCTGCACAGTTGTCACAGACTTGAGGGCTTTTATGCCTTGATAAACTGAGAATAGAAAAAGCTGAAAATGGGTATGGAGGTGAGATGACTTGGTTGCTTTATTCCCATGTGTATTAGTTATTGCCACATGAGAAATCACAAGCACATTTTGCATCTTGGCCCAATGAACTTTTCACATCTCACAGATTTCTGCTGCTCAGGAGCAGTTTAGTTGGTGGTTCTTCCTCAGGACCTCAGGGTTGCAGTCAAGATAGCAGCAGAGGACACAGTCATTGAAGGCCTGACTAGGTTGGAGAATCTGCTTCCTGTATAGCTCATTTCCCTGGTTGTTGGCAGGATGCCTCTCAATAGAGCTGCTTGAGTGCCCTCAATAACTCTGGTTTCCTCAAGAGTAAGTAATTCAAGAGGGAGGTAGACACAACCCAGAATGCCTATGCTCTAGACTTAAAGCTCAATGTCATATTCTATTCATTAGAAAGTCATTGGACCAGGCCTGGTGGTACACGCTTGGAATCCCAGTTACTTGGAGGCAGAGGTCAGGAGGATCATGGTCCAAGGCTGGCCTGGGCAAAAGCACAACCCTACCCTTAAAATAACTGAAGGAAAAGGGGCAGACTGGAGGCATGGCTTAAGTGGTAGAGTGCCTGCCCAGCAAGCACAAGGCCCTGAGTTCAAACCCCAATACTAAAAAAAAATTTAAAAAATAAAAATGAAGAAGCAAGTCATTAAATGTAGCCCACATTAAAAAAGGGAAATAAGCTCTATCTCTTTCATGTATTTTGGGGATTTTTGTTTTGTTTTGTTTTTTCACAGTTCTGGGGTTTGAACTCAGGACTTCACACTTGCTAGCCAGTCACTCTTAACACCTGAGCCTCTCCAGGAGCAAGCTCTATTTCTTGAAGGCAGGAAAACCAAAGAATTTTTGGATATATTTTCAAGCCAACACAGTATCTGAAGTTAAAGAGCTCAAGGTAATTGTAGACCAGGGTTGAATGTAAGAAGAGCTGAAACTGGAATCGTAGCTATTTCTTTCAACTGAAAAAGTTTTTCATTCCTTGGTGCTTTAGAGACTGAAAGTGTAGGTGGATAACCTCCAGGAGCTATAACATTAGACTGGGACTGCCACCATTTATGAATCAAAGTGCTATTGGCCTTACACAGAATATTTATAGAGTGTATGGAAGCTGTATATCCAAGGAAGCTGGAATAAATGATTATTAAAGTTCAGAGGACATCTAGGGGCTGTGGGGTTCACTGAAGAAAACCCCCTCAGCCTCCATAAAGCTTGAAATATTAGATTATTGATGCTGCACTCCACTTTGAACTTGCAGGAACCATGTAAGGAGCAGCTATGGACCCATTAAGGGTTCCATAACTGCTGAGGCAGAGCTAAGCATTGGAGAACTTGCTGGTGTTAGAGCAGGAGATGCAAGTTTCAATAATCTCACTGGAGATAAAGATATCATCCTGCTGCATTTGGGTGGAGGTTACCAACTGACACCCATGGGCCAGATATAACTCATGGTCTTGATTAGCTTTCCCTATGGTGGTTTTTTTTTTTTCCTTTTTGAAAATGTTTATTTTACTGCCTATATTTACAAATTGAAAGAGTTCACATAAAAGTCTTGGTGGAAAAGTGGAAAATCTAACAGGGAGGTTGGAGGTGAACAGTCACCTCCACCTTTGGATGAGGCTGAGCCTTACTGGATGCCTGCTCCATTCATTTACATTACCTGCCCCCTCTATCGGCCATTTGCAAACTCATTTCCGGGGTTTGGGGGATGGCTTTGTACTTATTTTCACCAACAAATGGTCAGGAGACCTTCTTCACTCTTTTCTTTTGATAGCAGGAGTATTTTCAGGACCACAAACATCAGATTGGAAACAGCAGTTCCTTTAATGTGGATCCCAAAATCTGTCTGTACCCCAAACCTGCACTTCTCCAGATCCTCTTTGGAGTTCTTCAGCCATGTTCCTCCAGGGACTGAGATTCCATGATAAAAAAACAAAAAAATCATGGATTGGGTCAGGATAGACTATATATGACTAAAATAGGTTCATGATTTTCAAACTGGGGAACGTGTACCTAAAGGTACACATGGCATACTGTGATAGCTTTCCAAGGAGTGTATGCTTATGGATAGTTTTAAGGAAATTAATTTAAGGTCCTCTGTATAAATTGTATTATTTCCTAAAATTGATCTGCTGAGAATGAATCTAAGTTCATAATAGTCCTTTTCCCACATTGTTTTTTTTTAAGGTGTAAGTTTCATTTATCCGAAATCTTAATATGACACATTGCCCTTAATATGAGCCCAAAACACCAGATGTAGCAAACAGAAGATTTCTTCTAGTGGCTAATCATAGATCCATAGACCTCTGGGCTTTCCCTTATTATATACAAGTTAGAGGTGACTATGATATTACTGAGATAGGAATGAAATGGGTGTTTGGAATCATGTGTGGGTTTTCAGAATTCAGTTATATGGTAAAGTGGAATTATGAGAATCATAATAGTTTTTATTTGACATCTTTTCTGGTTCCTTTTCCTGATTCTTATTAAAGAATGCTTTGTTCTTGAAAGAGGTTCCTAAGAGAATGACACAATGAAAAAATGGGTGGGTGACACCAAACATCAAAAATGGCTTTTCCATGTAATTGTAAGCAATTACATGAAGAATAGAAGCAGTAGAAAGTAGTAGGAAACACCACTATTCTCAATATCCACCCATAGGATGAAAAGTAGGAAGAAAAGTAACTTGTAACAGCTAAAGCAGCATAGATTTGTACTGAGGATTATTTTATTTTATGGATTTTGAGATGGTGCCTTGCTGTTGCCCAAGCTGCCCTTGAACTCCAAAGCTCAAGAAATTCTTCTGCCTCAGTGTCCCAAGTAGCTGGGACTACAAGTTGTGTGCCACCATGTCTGGCTTGCTGATTATTTTAAATGTAGCTAGAATGCTTTTTTCAAATAACAAAAATTTTTTTTAGAACTACAGTGGATAAACCCAAGGCTAAAAAACTTTCACATGGATTCTTTCGTATTTGATGTGCATTAGTTAATGAAGTTGTCAAAACCTTTGTATCAACCCATGGCATGAAATATTTCTTCAATTATAGTCAATTCTCATCATATTTTATGCTATAAAATGTTTGATATCTTTTTCCTAATGGCAACCAAAAACTATGTGTTGTCAGACTGACTGGCAGCCTAGAACCTTTGGTTACCAGCAGCATTTCTGATTTTCCTGCTAATTCTTATTTAATTATTTTTCAAAGCCAACCAGTGCTCAATAGCTGCATACAATTTTACTAGAGACATATCATGTCTTCTAGAGGTTTTTTTCTTGTTTTGCATGACAGTGTATTGGTCATCTGATTTTACAACTTAGTGAAACACACACAATTATATTAGAGCTGCATCATCTTGGTTTTTATTGTTTTTAGAGATAAGTCTCACATGGTATACTTTTAGTTCTCACTGATTTTTATAATATTCCTTTGAAAAGTGAAGCCAGCCTTTTTAAGGAGGTAAAATGTATTTGATGTGGCTGGTTTGATAGTGAAGAATGACCCTGCTAAAGAGGTATTTTTGAGAGACACATACATGAGTTAAATCTGCACCTCCAAAGTAGAAGTTTTATATATACAATATATTATATGTACTTTATCTTATTCATTAAATGAAAGTTTAAATTCAAGGAGCAAAGTAAAAAAAAGATCAAATTTATGTTAAAGT